GGAAATATGGTTATACGTCCTTCCTTCGCTCCTACTTTCAACTACAGCTCTGCCAAACATATATGGTTGATTGTGGCTTTTCTTTTAGTAGCTGTAGTGAAAATACAATGGGACATTCCCAAACATAGCCATCAGAAAAAAAAAAAACAGAGAGAAAGGAGGATAGACAAAAGCAAAAACAAAAAAATTATTGTAATGAATAGCCGAGTAGCCGAAATGATGTCGCAGCCTTAGTGAACAACGGTGAGAGTGGTAGATAGGGAAATGAGCTCTAATGAAGACAAAAGTTGAGAGAGGGAAAAAATGTTTAAAATTCAAGAAGAAGAACAGAGAGGAAGAGAGAGAGAGAGAGAGGGTAGACAGAGGAATGAAAGGCAAAAGCTGAGATAGGGAGAAAGAGAGAGAAGGTGGGGAGATAGAGGGTAGATACAGATGCAAATCATGTGATGCGTAGGGAGAAGAGTGTTGGGCGGGAACATCATTAATCTCAACCATTGATATACACTGAACATTCATCTCAATCATTCAAAGGAAATGTGTCTCTGATACAATTTATACATTTTCAAAAACTCTCTTCCCTTATTATATAAATATCAAAAGCAAAAAAAAATCATCTTGAGGTTTATCTTATTATTTAGGTTGAATTACACTAAAGGTCCCTATAGTTTAGAGCTTGTTTCACTTTGGTCCCTGACTTTTCAATTGTGACACATTTGACCCTGAATTTTGAATCTTGTTTCAAATAAGGACAATTATTATTCAATTTTAAGGGTAGACTCGTTAATTTGATAAAATATAAACTAATTTGATAAAAATAAATGTCAAAAAATATTTTTAAATTTTCAAAAATTATTTCTACCCACCAATGATAAAATTATGTAAAATTGATAAATCTTTTACACATTTTTTTTACCAAATTAATTTTTATTATATGTTTGAATAATGATCATATAATGGGTGGTTGTTTTTATTTTCATTAAATTAGTTTCTATTTTTTCAAAAGTCAAATATGGCGACAACTTGAATATCATTATTAAACTAATCTATTAAATCAAAAAATTGAAAATTAAAAACATTTCATATATTAAATATATCGATTACACATAAAAGCCTAACAACCATCCATTACATGATCATCATCCAAACACATAATAAAAATTAATTTGGTAAAAAAATAAATAAATGTGTAAAAGATTTAATCAATTTTACATAATTTTATCTTTGGTGGGTAGAAATAATTCTTAAAAATTCAAAAATATTTTTTTGACATTTATTTTTATCAAATTAGTTTATATTTTATCAAATTGACGATTTTGCTCTTGAAATTGAGTGATGAAATTTTCAATTGTCCTTATTTGGAACAAGATTCAAAATTCAAGGTAGGGGTGGGCGCAGGTCGATTGCGGCCACAGAACCTCTAATCCGCCATATGTCCGCTAGATTGGCGGATTGGAGAAAATCAATTCGCATCCGTCCGCCAATCCGACGGATGTGGATTGAGCAGATTGGCGGTTTGGTAGATGGATGCGAATCGGTTTGGCGGTTTGAAATTTTATAAATTTTCAACATAGTTCAACTTGTGCACTTCCTTAAAGAAAAGAAAAAAAGAAGTATTACAGTCAATGACTTAAAAAAGTATTATAATTACTGCATGCCTCATCCAAAGAAAGAAAGTTTGAAACTTTAGAATATCACAATCACTGCATGCCTCATCCACATATTACAATCATAGTATGCCTTATCCACATAAAGTATTACAATATGTGGTTCTTAAAATATAAAAACAATTCAAACCACCAAAACCATGAACATAATAGTAGTAGAGATTGTATGTCTCTGTATTGTTACATTTATATATGTTTTTGAAAACAAAAACCAACTAGCATATATTATATTTTCTATTTATTACTTTTAGAATTAGATTTAAAAACCAAAAAATATAAATAAATAATACGTTTATTTTTTTCAATTCAAAAAATATATTCAAGTTGAAAACTTTTTTAAACAGAATATTTAAACTCTTTTTCAATTGAAAACACAAACTAAATATTTAAACAAATTGAAAACACAAAGTTTTATAAATTACTAAGGGTGCTTGCGGTTTGGCGGTTCAGTTGCGGCCAAAGGAACCTCAAATCCGCCATCCGTCTGCCAAATTGGCGGATTGGAGAAAATCAATCCGCAACTGTCCGCTCGTCATCACGCATCCATCCAAAATGCAGCGGATCGGTTCGGCTCGGTCGGTTTTGGCGGATCGGTATATCCGCTGCTCACCTCTAATTCAGGGTCAAATGTGTTACAATTGAAAAGTCAGGGATGAAAGTGACACAAGTTTCAAATTATAGGGACTGTTAGTGTAATTTTCTTTATTATTTATAAAAAAAATAAAAAAAATACAATTTTATTAATTTTATAAAAATAAGTAATATATTTGGTACATTTTTAAAACATATGTAGTGAATTGTTAAAAATAATGACTAAAGAATTAGGGGTGTGTGGGGTGTAAAATCCGACCACATAATAATCAACAAAATCTAAAAAATAAAAGTTAGATCACAATTTTACACATATACCTTTGAGGTAGGGGTGTAAATTTTTCTAACGGCTCATGGGTTGCCTGAAGCTTGCCCGCGGCCTGGGGTGGGCCAGATGTGGTTAGGCCCGAGCTCGAGCTTGAGCCCAGCCCAGCCCGACACCCTGGGCTTGGGCAATCATTTTGAAGCCCGACCTGCCGGACCCAACACATTTGCCCGCTCAAGGACCCTCTTAAAACTCGGCCCGCCCGAAGCCTAATGCCCTCTTTTATAAAAAATAATAAAATTTTGATGAAAACAATAGAAAAAAAATATAAAAAAATGTTCAAGCTCACCCTATTTCTCTTCCTTATCAAATTCTCTCATAATTGGGTTAGGATAACTATACCCAACCTAGAAATTATTTTTTGAGCTCTTAAAAAAAAAAAATTCTTGTTATATTATAACTGGCCGAATTACTCCCCCATCTCAATCGATAAAATCCCGTTATGTTATATCTCGCCTCGAGGCCGTGCAACATGTTTTACTAAAAAACATACATCTCATAAAAGAGTGGGGAGAAGTAATGGTTTAGAAAGACGAGAGAGAAGGAGAATAAAATGAAAATTGATTTTTTTAAAAATATATTTTTCCTTCAAATTTATGAGAAATTAGAAATTATTATTTCCCTTTTTTTTAAAAAAAACAAAAAATAATTATCAAAAGGAGTTTTTTTTTATAAATCTTCTTTCTAAGAGTTTTATTCCATCCAACTTATATTCTTTTTTATTATTCCATTAGATCCTATTTGAGATAAGAAGATCAAAACATCCTTAATCTCTCATGCCTCCTATTAATATTGATATTTAATGTTGATTGTCATTATGTTTTGATAGTTTCCATGCATCAGGATATTAACTATCATTATATTCATATTAATTTGAAATGAATTTTTGTTATTGTGTTGTCTATCAGTTTCATGATATGAATATTCACATTATGTAATTATAATGAATATTTACATCATTATATTCATATTAATTTGAAATAAATTTTTGTTATTGTGTTGTCAATTACATGATGTGAATATTCATACTAAAACATACGAATGTAAACGTTCACATCATTACATGTTGTGAACAAGAATGTGTTGTCAATTAAAAATATAATGAAGGTTATTTTTAATGTATTAATTAAAAATAAGAAGGTTCACATATTGTGAACGTTCACATCACTACATTAGATGAAAAAGAATTTTTCGAAAAGGTGTTGTGAACGTTCACATCAGATGAGAGAAAATGGTCACACTATTTTTAATGTGTTGTTAATTAAAAATATATTCACATCAAATGAGAGAGAATGTTCACATTATTTTTAATATGTTGTTAATTAAAAATATATTCACATTATATAATAATATAAAATAATAACATCAATGTTACTTAGTTTGTGAAATTTTTTTTCCTATGTCTTGGTCGTTTCCCTTTTCTCTGCTCCACCAACATTAAATATCAATATTAAATATAAGTGTACAAGAGTTTAAGAAAATAGTGTAAAATAAGAAAAAAAGATTTTATGAAATAAAAGTATAAATATATGGGACTAAGTGGATTAAAAAATTCGTTTATAAATTTCTTAGATTAGAACACTTCTAAATGAGATTTATTAATAAAAATCCAATTATGAAACCTATTTGCTTGGTTAGAGTTTTTCAAAAATACTTTTCAGAAAATTCTACTTTTTTGTTTTTCCTGTTTTTTTTTTTACTTTTTACTGAATTTTTTTAATATTTTAAACAATTTTTTAATTTTTAGACATGCCTCACATAAATATACTTGAAAAGTAAAAAAATTTGTGAAAAAAACCTTTTAAAAATTCATTAAATATCAAAAATATAAAAAAATAAAAGAATTCAGTACATTTTTTATATTTTTATGTATTTATTAATTTTTAAAAATATTTTTCACAAATTTTTTACTTTTTAGATATATCTAAAATAGTAAAAAAAAAAATGTTTAAAATTTTAAAAATATTCACTAGAAATAAAAAAAAATGAAAATCAAAAAATTCAATTTTCAAAAAAATTTGTTTGGGATACTCTAAAAAGGCCAAAAAGTCACTATCCTATTTAAGTCGCGTCATCTTATTTAAATCACATCACCTCTTTACCATATTACTTCAAACCCAACCCATATTTACATTATCTCAAATCATCCCCTTAATCCAAAAAAAACTCAAACCAAACATATTTTTGTTTGCAATTTTAGTTTTAATTTTAGAAAAATGTTTGGGGGCCCTAATTCTGTGGCTCAAATGGCCAAAACGACGTCGTTTTGGCCATTTTGATGTTATTTTGTACTCAAAATGACGTCGTTTTGACCATTTAAATCACATTTAAGCCATAAAATTTGGCCCTCTACCATTGCTCTTAATTTTATCTCACTAAAAATTCCCAACTTGGACAACTCCCTCTTATACGAATGCAGTAAGTTAGTGACCTAATTGATGTCCGGTCAGACTATTGAACCAAGCAAACCAGAGCCGCCACTCTACTATACCAGTAAACACAGCTCTACAAGGAGTAACTGTCTCAGATTCTCTTTCTCTGTCTCTCTCTCTCTGTCTCTCTCTAGAATTTCTCGGGGTTTCCATTCGCTGAAGAAAAACAGGTACAGAATCAGCTCCATTACTCTTTTACATATATACAAATCAAACGCACCTTTTGATTCTCTGATGTATGTATAGACTATAGTATCGTGTGTTTTGAGTTGGGACTGTTCTAGGGTTTCTTCTCAGTCACAGACTTTGGCAAGGCGTGTGCACAATAGGGACATTAGAGGTCATTAAACATTTTTTTTTTCTTTCTATTTCCCGATTCGAATTTAGGTGTTTGAATTTCTTGGTTAAGTTTTTGGTTTTCATTGGAGCATTATCTTAATTGGGTTGGGTTTCTTAGTTCGAAAAGCTTTGATTAATGATGAATCTTGAAACCCATCAATATTAAATACTAACATGTTGTTGATACAAAAGAACAAAGAAAAAAGGTGTTAGCTGCACTATTTAATGTGGTAAGCTTGCTGAAAACAATAATTCAATAGGTTCAAGAATTCATGTACTATTGCTTTTTGGATCAGTTCATTATGAGTTGTCGGTAAAATTTTAGAATGTAGTTTTTGTTTCTTTATGTTCTTTGTGTATGCTAGGTACTTGATCAAATGCCACAAAGTGGCTGAGTTTTCTTTGATGTTGCTGACATATGTATTATATTAGAAAATTCAAATGCCTTGTGGTTTTGTTGGGTTGCTTACATGATGAGAGGAAATTGAACACTAGCTTTGCCCTTTTTTCATCAAAATTATTTTCAATTTGCTATTTATTAGAATAGATATCTGTCAATATGGGATAAGGAGCTCACAAGCAACGCAGATATAGCTTTTTAAAAGGACAAGTGTATTGTCATTTTGTGTAGAGGTGAGTTTTGGATGCTGTCACCTGAATGAAATTCTATGAAGCACAAGAGGGAGTTTCACCCGAAAGTATTCTCTGATGAACTATTCTGAGGTCGACTATTCCACTTACTACGAGAGAAATGGTTATTTATGGAAACTTGTTCACATTATGTGCACATATTGTATTTTTTGATTGCGTCATTGTTAATTTTTTCGTTTTCTGATTGCATTACCGTTTCAAATATATCACTACAAATATTGTATATTTATTAAAAATATTGCCCAATACCAAAGAGAGTTCAAAAACAAGTACATGCCGTACCAATGACAAACTTGTTCCTTATCCAGTACGGGATTGACAACATTGGTGTTGACATTTTAAGTATTAAAAAAAAATTTAAATTTGAAGTTAAAAAGATTATTTTTCCCACTAAGGTTGATAGTGAAAATACAAATTAGAGGTTATATAACAGTTGGTTATAGGTAAACTCTCTTGGACTCGAAATTAAGCCCTTTTTAAAGTAAATTGGTAAGTTTTAAGTGATAATTGCTTGTGTGCTATCAAACACCCTGGATAGAATATCCACTTTAATAAGATTTAGACTTGAGCACTTGCTGGGGTTATCATGCAACCATTTGGTCTTCAATCAGTTTAATTCCATGGTTCAAAGGAATTGGGCCTAAAATTTGTCCTGTCTGTTCATGACCTATGAACTATAAGTGAAATTTAATCTTTTTCAAATGCATAGATGATCATTTTATGTGTAGCCATTCACCAACTTTTTCATTTGAAACATCCTCAAAACATTGGTAGGTGTTCAAGAATTCTTAGGCCTCATTATAATATAATCGTAAATGTGTTCAAATGATGTTCACAACTGTGCTTTTTTTTCTTTTTTTTTTTTTAGCATTTTCTATCCAGTAGCTGACCTCATTTGATGGGACTTAAGGTTTGGTTTGGTTTTGCCCACTTTACATTAAGGCCTCTTGTATTTTCATTATAGGAAGAATGAACAATTTTGAATACAGAGAAATCAACAATGGTGATGGAAGACGATTTAACAGAGAAGCGGAAGAAGAAGAAGATGATGAAGAGGACGATGAGGGAAATGGAAGAGGCCTTGATGCTTGGGAGAGAGCTTACGCAGATGACAGATCCTGGGAGGCTCTGCAAGAGGATGAATCTGGACTTCTTCGCCCAATTGACAACAAAACTCTCTACCATGCTCAGTATCGTCGGCGGCTGCGCTCTCTCTCCTCCTCCTCAACCGGCTCTCGTATTCAGAAGGGCCTCATTCGCTACCTTTACATTGTTGTTGACCTCTCCAGGGTATCCAAATTTGCATTTTGACACCCATGAATTGTAGAATTCATTCAATTGCTTCTTAATGGGTCAGTTAAATATCTTATCGATCAGAGGCATGTAAAATAAAAAATATATGTAGTTCAATGGGGTTCCTTTGAGGTATTGAGAACAAGATCAGATAGGATATCCCCTAGAATACTTGTCGATTTTAGAAATTAGGTGGCTATTTATTATTGTTGTGTTAGTTTAAAGCAATGCTGTGTTAGTCTTGAAGCTCAAAACTACTATTTGTTATTGTTGTTACGTCATGATTCATTTAAATTTAATGTGTAGGCGGCTGCAGAGATGGATTTCAAACCAAGCCGAATGGTTGTAGTTGCCAAACAAATTGAGGCTTTCATTAGGGAGTTCTTTGACCAAAATCCACTGAGTCAAATTGGCCTGGTAACTATAAAAGATGGGGTTGCTCAGTGTCTAACAGATCTTGGTGGAAGTCCTGAGTCCCATGTTAAAGCTCTGATGGGTAAGTTGGAGTGTTCTGGTGATTCCTCTCTTCAGAATGCCCTGGATCTTGTTCATGACTATTTATGTCAAATCCCATCATATGGTCACCGTGAAGTTCTTTTTTTGTATTCGGCCCTTAGTACTTGTGATCCTGGGGATATAATGGAGACCATCCAGAAATGCAAGAAATCTAAAATAAGGTGTTCAGTGATCGGTCTATCAGCAGAAATCTTTATATGCAAATATCTCTGCCAAGAAACTGGTGGATCATACTCTATCGCGTTGGATGAGGTGAGTTCAGTTAATCAAGAAAGCATCTTTGCCAAGTAGAAGTGTGATATAAGTGAGTTGCAAATTTTAAGAATGAAGAAAGAGAGAGAGAACAAAGGGTGATCATGGGAGTCTAAAAATGATTTCACTTTAGTCTAGTCAAAGGGGAAAAGAACATTGATTTAATTTTAGACACGGGTGGAGAAAGCTAGCAACCTTGGTTAAATTAATTGAGAAATAAAAATGGGAACTCGGTTAACTGCAGTTTATTTGATAACTTGTGACTGTGCCTTGCTGATTTATATCTTCTCTCGCAGTCTCACCTAAAAGATTTGGTGCTAGAGCATGCACCGCCACCCCCAGCAATAGCAGAATTTGCAATTGCAAATTTGATCAAGATGGGATTTCCACAGAGGGCAGCAGAGGGCGTCATCTCAATTTGTTCATGTCATAAAGAGGCTAAGGTTGGTGGGGGCTACACTTGTCCAAGATGCAAAGCACGCGTTTGTGAATTGCCTACTGAATGTAGAATTTGTGGCCTGACCCTTGTTTCTTCTCCCCATTTGGCGAGGTCATTTCACCATCTCTTCCCAATAACACCATTTGATGATGTGTCTCCTTCCACCCTTTCAAAGAATCCACATCACAAGCTACCAAAAAATTGTTTTGGATGCCAGCAAAGTCTTTGTGATCCTGGTAAGTAGTCTACCACTAAACTAAGATTATTATTAATTTTTGGATCAGCAACAAAGAACCACGAAATTAAAATGTTGCAAGAAGATTATATGGGGAAAGCCAATGCTGACTTCCATTCAATTGATTCTGTTGTTTTACACCCCACAACTTGCACTTGCTAAATGAAATTGTAAAAAAAGATGTGCATGTGTACTGTGTTTTCATGTGTGTTATGATGATTATTATTTTTTCTTTTAATATTGTAAGAGCCTATTTTTTCTCCTTCAAAATGCATTTGCAATCTAATATTTATCTATTTGTACCAAGCAAAATTCCGAGTAAATGCCTGAACTCTACAAAAATTATGATAAGTAGATTATACCAGTGGAAAAAATTATCCTCCAAGCTAACTTTTGCCAACTTTGGGGCAATGGACTGGTATACGACAACCTTGGAAAGTTATCAGCTTTCTCTCAAACCAAGGTATGTTGCATAGGAAGAAGCTTCGAAATAATCTTTGTTATTTTTTATTTATTTTATTTGTTAGCAACCTAAGCTGAGGACAATTTTAACCTTTAATGCTCTGGTACTAGAACTTCCCAAGCAGCCAATGACACTGGATATTAGACACTCTACAACTATTCGATTTGAGACAAGCATCTAATTGTGGTTCAGCATTTCAATGGGCCCATATTGTGGAGATTGTGAGCACTATGCTATCAATTGCTCTGTGTTGCTTAGGCATCGGTCAATAGCGAACTAGCTTCTATTACCTGCTTGAGTTTGATGCAAGCATCAGGTAATAGAATGGAATGGAACTGCGGTTTGTATCTGACAAAAGAATGGAATTGTCAACGTGTCACAGAAAATATCCCTACCATATCAAGCAAACTTCTTTTTTTTCTTTTCTTAGTTCAATGGTTAACCCATAAAGGAGGAGGAGGAGGAGAGAGAAGAGGGGGGGGGGGGGATTGGGGGATTCAATCTAAGGTTTGTGGTACTACCAAGAGAATTCATCTACTTGTCTGACTGTCACCTTCCTTCACAATCATTGGTAGGAGGCATAAATATTAAAAGCCTAAAAGGGAAAGGTATTTATGAATGATCTATCTTTGAACAAGGATGACCCCACTCTGGTTAAAACTATATGTAGTGAAGTGTGTGCCATCCAGCCCCTAGAAGTTCTCTTCATTGGTGTTACTAGGTTAGTGGTCATTTTTGTTTAAGTGATTGTTTTGTTTTCTTCTCTTCTTCTTCCTCCTTTTCTCTCCTTATCTTTCTTTCTTCTTTTTTTCCCCCTTTTGTGTGTATATTTGTTCTCTCTCTCTCTCTCTGTGTTTTGGGTTTGGGGGGTTTGGGGGAGGGAAATTTGAAGATGTTTCCCTGTTAAAGTTTTAATAGTTTGGTTCTTGAGGCTGGGAAAGATAAAAGTGGTTCGGGAACAAGTTTGATGATATGGACCCTGTGTGGGAGAAGATCAAAACTAACACATTCTGAAGGTTTACTGGGCCTTTTAACTCTGTCTTAGTGAATTGATACGTAATTTGAATTTTGATCTGTCATATTAACATTTGCATTTGTAATTTCTCTTTAGGAATCTTAATTGAGTATTATGGGTGGGATGGTCAGAATGCAGGGGATGGGATCTGTTTCAAGTAGTCTATCTTTTCTTAGCATGTTGGGCCTCAGATATTGAGATGAAGGGAACAGATTGGGTTTGATTCTACTAAAAAAGTAGTTCTACAGATTATGAGGGGTTTCAGACAAGCAATAATTTTGGGGATCTTTTGTGGAAATTGACCTTCTCATTATTATGATTTAGCTGATACTATAAATTGACCTTCTTGCAACTTCCACCTTCTTTCCTCTTTCCTTCTTTTCTTTCTATTGGATGTGAAATTTAGTAGCGGATTACTTGTCCATGTTTTTTATTTTTGTTTTTTATGTTTTTATTATTATTCTCTCTCTTTATTTTTAGTTTTATCATTTTACGAGGATCTATTCTTCCTCCCCTTTAAAAATAATTTGGTAGATATATTCTGCTTTTATTTCTTGTCAAAATTTTGCTAGTGTGCTTGCTGTCCTTAACACATAATAGGTTACAACATTTATGATAAATTTGTTCTTCCCATCTGTGTGTTTCTAGTATTGGTTGATGTACCAGTGCTGATAGTCTGATAAGAAAACATTATACATTTTCTAGTATTGTCTTAATTATGCTAAAAATCTTATCTAATTAATTTTTTATTATTTCTCCACCTTCTCTCTCATTTCTTTCTCTACCCCTCTCTATATCTCTTTTTGTGTGCATATGTGCATGTTGATATAATTTTGTTTTCATCTTTTATGGAGGCATATTTTTAAACCTTGATGATCATCATACAGAAAATCAAATTAATAAAAAAAAGGAAAATGATCAGTTAACTCGAGCATATTTCTTAGTATAACTTTGGCATCATGCTGAATGTTAGTCCCACCACCAAATGAAAATTGAGTTTAGTTAGATTGTGATTCTTGGTAAGATTTCAACTCAAAGTTGCCCAATTTGAGCCAAATTCCTAGCTCCACCATTGGGTCGAAGGATATCTATGCTTCTCCAATAAGAGTTTATCAATCTCTGCTCTAGATGTCTATTTTCCGTGTATGTTGATATGTTTTTAGAAGAAAGTGGGTATGTTTGGACCAATCTTGTTGGCAAAAACCACTAGTAAGTCCAGGAATTCACAATACACAGGATCATTAATTAGGTCTTAACACGTGTCCTTAAAAATTATGTTACAAACTTCGAATTTCAGAATGGGGCCCATAAAATGTACAGTGTTTTTCTGATAATACAAATTTTTGTTGGTTTTGATGCAGGAAACAAACCCTGCCCTTGTGTTGTCTGTCCAAAATGCAAACAACACTTTTGCCTTGATTGTGATATTTACATTCACGAGAGCTTGCACAACTGCCCAGGTTGCGAGAGCTTCAGTCAATCACAGTCAGTTGGTGGTTCCATGGAAGAATGACATCTTCAAGATTTTAATTTTTTTGTCGCTCAAAGATATGGTGTCCATAAGTTCCAAGCTCGTCAGCGCAACTAAAAGTGACATATTTCTGTATGAGATTACCAGAATTTTCTCACCACCCTGAAAGGCGTTCCTGCTACACGATTGTTGATCCTCTGAGTGGACATCATGATCATTGATTCTCACAAATCCATTGCGGCTACCAGCCTTTGCTGACCTTGAGTCTATTGGAGCTTACTGCAAACCCTATGTAAGATAAGAAATTAGTGCAAAAATTTTGTTACATGTTACATTTCCAATTTTGGATTGCAATAAACCTTTGAGACATTTTTTTTATTTTTTATTTATATTTATTTATTTTCTGATGAAAGTGAGTTATTCGCCTCGCTGGGCTATGGTGCAGACTACTAGCTTTTAGACCTTGGGTCAAAATTTTATAGCCCGGATCCAATACCTGGGGGTGCATTGATCCCTAACTTGATGGATTTTTTGGTTGTTGTGAAGCTCTCTATGACTTGTTTACAATGAAATAATTTTTAACAGGTCTTTTTAACTCTGTTCTGTATTTGAGAGATTCAGGAATTGCTGTGAACAAACACTGCCTTAGTTGACAGCTTAACAAAGGCAGTGTTTTGAATCATAGGTTTGGATAAAAATTTGAAAAGAGACAGGAAATGGTGAAGTAAATGTTTCCAATTTATATTTCATTCATATTTTTTTTATATCTTTTTTTGTTTTTTAAAATTTTTTACTCAAATTCATGATTCGTATAACTTTGGCATCATGCTGAATGTTAGTCCCACCACCAAATGAAAATTGAGTTTAGTTAGATTGTGATTCTTGGTAAGATTTCATCTCAAAGTTGCCCAATTTGAGCCAAATTCCTAGCTCCACCATTGGGTCGAAGGATATCTATGCTTCTCCAATAAGAGTTTATCAATCTCTGCTCTAGATGTCTATTTTCCGTGTATGTTGATATGTTTTTAGAAGAAAGTGTGTATGTTTGGACCAATCTTGTTGGCAAAAACCACTAGTAAGTCCAGGAATTCACAATACACAGGATCATTAATTAGGTCTTAACACGTGTCCTTAAAAATTATGTTACAAACTTCGAATTTCAGAATGGGGCCCATAAAATGTACAGTGTTTTTCTGATAATACAAATTTTTGTTGGTTTTGATGCAGGAAACAAACCCTGCCCTTGTGTTGTCTGTCCAAAATGCAAACAACACTTTTGCCTTGATTGTGATATTTACATTCACGAGAGCTTGCACAACTGCCCAGGTTGCGAGAGCTTCAGTCAATCACAGTCAGTTGGTGGTTCCATGGAAGAATGACATCTTCAAGATTTTAATTTTTTTGTCGCTCAAAGATATGGTGTCCATAAGTTCCAAGCTCGTCAGCGCAACTAAAAGTGACATATTTCTGTATGAGATTACCAGAATTTTCTCACCACCCTGAAAGGCGTTCCTGCTACACGATTGTTGATCCTCTGAGTGGACATCATGATCATTGATTCTCACAAATCCATTGCGGCTACCAGCCTTTGCTGACCTTGAGTCTATTGGAGCTTACTGCAAATCCTATGTAAGATAAGAAATTAATGCAAAAATTTTGTTACATGTTACATTTCCAATTTTGGATTGCAATAAACCTTTGAGACATTTTTTTTTATTTTTTATTTATATTTATTTATTTATTTATTTATTTTCTGATGAAAGTGAGTTATTCGTCTCGCTGGGCTATGGTGCAGACTACTAGCTTTAGACCTTGGGTCAAAATTTTATAGCCCGGATCCAATACCTGAGGGTGCATTGATCCCTAACTTGATGGATTTTTTGGTTGTTGTGAAGCTCTCTATGTTGTTTACAATGAAATAATTTTTGACAGGTCTTTTCCACTCTGTTCTGTATTTGAGAGATTCAGGAATTGCTGTGAACAAACACTGCCTTGGTTGACAGCAATGGATTTTGTTAACTAAGGCAGTGTTTCGAATCATAGGTTTGGATAAAAATTTGAAAAGAAGGAAATCGTGAAGTAAATGTTTCCAATTTATATTTCATTCATATTTTTTTTATATCTTTTTTTGTTTTTTAAAATTTTTTACTCAAATTCATGATTCAAATATAACTTAAGAGAAAATGTGGGATTCAAGAGCTCTGTTTCAAAATTTCTCATGGAACAAACTCAAATCACAACAATTAATAAAAGTTTAATAATTTGTTTGATTTGCGGATGGTAGGGTGGGATAATTTGTTTGGGACAACTGTTTATGGGCAAATAACTAAAATGGCCTTTACAAAATTAAACATTTTGAAATTTTTTATTTCATCTGATTCAATTCACGAATCAAAATAGCTTTACAGGAACTAAAGGACACAGATTTTTTTTTTTGACGATACCCTTCAATGAAATTCTTCAACGTCACCCCAAAGAAACAATATATATATATAGATTTTTTGAAGGGAAACTAAAGATAGGAACGCTAAAAATTAAAATACAAATCGAATCAAGATTAAGGGATACGTAAGACGTGGCATTGTCTGCTAGATTGACCTAACAAAACTTCCAACACACTTGTTGCCAAGGGTCATAGCAGACAAAGCAGAAAACAAAAACTTTGTAATTGATCAAAATTATAATTTTAATGGGTGGTGCTGCAACTGCCCTCAGTAACATGTCCACGCTTACTTGTGATGTCAAAATGGTTGAGCTTCATCAACTACCTCCAAACACTGTCTTTCTAGCCACCTCTTTGTCCGCCATTCCTTTGACTGAATTCCATCACCATTGTATCTTTTGGTCGTGGACTTGAAAAACAAAGATCAAAGAAAGAAAAAACAAACAAGAGAAAAGAAAAAGATCAACAATTGTTTAAATACAAGATTACTAGGAAAAACCTTCTGTCTCCATGCACGAGCCACCTAATGAGCGAAAATTATTAAATAGTACTGAAGTATCACGTGACATTACCTAACGAACAGCCTTGCTTACGAGGCATTGATGTGGGATAAATTAACCAAAAAAAATTGAGGATTGTAGATCTTGTTGCAAAATGGCCTCAACTTCCCAAAAGGTTAGAGAGATATTGGAAAGTACTGAAAATTAGCTTCTTCCAATCCAATTCAACAATCACATTATTGATGGAAAATCCATGACCAAAGTACAAACCCCACCGGAGATTCTCTCTCTCTGCATGGTATAGTTCATGCATTTGGTTAGGGATTCTATATCCTCAAGTTCTCTCCTATTATGGTGAAAATATAAAAAAACATAGAAATTTCGAAAATGATCATACGACTGAGAGTATATTGAGAATAAAAGAAGGGTTTTTGGGATAGGGTAACATCACATATACTGCAAGAGTTATCAAACACAAATTAACAATCATTGAATTATCTACAAAAAAACAAAAGACAAAAAACTAAACGCCCAAACCAGGCCAATTTTACCTCAACTATGCTGTATGCCTTTATTTATAGATTTTTTTTTTAATTTTTTTTTTTGGTAGAACTAGAACTTAGATAAAAGAAGCTTAGCGTACACAAGTCTGGGGTGAGTCACCCCTCTAGGCTTTAGCATCATCGTCTACTACATCTAGACCAAAAAAATTGGTTAAAAAACATATAAAAACTGAAAACAAAAATGTATTTCTTGTAAAAGCTTCATTAGCTAAAGCATCCGCACATCTATTTCCTTCCCTATGAACGTGATTAAGCGTTGCTATCCTCAGCCAGGCCATAAGGTACCTGCAAAAAAATTGTACTTTTAAGTTAGTTGAAATAGCAAAGCACGGAAGGAGAACAAATAAAACACCAATCTGTTAAACAAAAACTTATTCGCATTCCAAGAATGGATTTTTTTTTAGCGCACTTGCAAAGGTTTGCTACGTAGGAGCAATGATGCCAACACACCAGCCTTCTCATTCTAGAAATGGCATGTATGTTGGCATCATCTCTCCTGCGTAGAGAACCTTTCAATGCAGGAAATCGTCATCGTCTTCCTCTTCTTCTTCATGTTTGGAAATTGGAATGGGGAGAGAAAGTGGCTTATTTAAACCATAAAGTTTGTTTAACAAAAAAAAAAAAAAAAAACAAAGACAAAACCTAACATTGTACTATGTATCATGATGACGAGGGGATTGCTTTTTCTATATATCCAGACTGGTTCCAACCAAATGGAGTCCTAATTGGTGGGCTCTAAACAGAACTTTTAAATTGAAAAACACGAAACCTGGATTTTTTTTTATATTTTTTTAATTTATCCTTTATTTATATATATATATATATATATTTTATTTGGGTTTCATTCTATGTTTGTGGTTGGAAATGAATTTCATGACCTCCTCCAGAGGACGAGGAGGTGGATGATGCTTCACTTTCATTGTTTCATCATGCTGATGCCACTGCTTGATGTCACCTACATACATATGGACAAAAGCAATCTTATCATTGTTTTATCATTATTATTTTAATGCATTTGCTGACCAGAACAACAGTTTCATGACTTTTCTGTGAACTACTACTACTAATATTATTAGTGTGAAACATATATACATAATATATACACACAATGTTGGTACATGGTAAGTTGGTACTTTTAAGGGCAACTTGCAGACTTATCTTCAAAGTTCCAAACCATAGAAAAGTCTCACAACAAGAGAGTGAAAGCGAATGCTGGTGGAGGTGGTAGCTAGCCAGCTTCTCACCAGTTCTGTTTGTTGCAATTTATGGAGGTTGTTTACAACTTTTCTTTTTTTAATTATAAAGATGTTACAAATAAATAGATTTTTTTATGTGATTTTCTTTTTATCGGACATAAGGTAATGTCTCATGTTTATTTATTAATGTAAACCAGTATCTAATAGCAAAAAAATAGAGTAAGAATTCTTTTTATTTATAATATTACTCTATTTTTTTTGGTGAATTACGCTAATAGTCCATATATTTTGTCTTTTATATCATTTTGATCCTTACATTTCAATTTGCTCAATTTTAATTCGTAATTTTTGATTTTGTGTCAATTTGTTTCAGTTGATAACATCATTAAGGTTTTTGACAAAAAATTGTCATTGAGTTGGTTGAGATTAAACCACTGAGTTGATCCAGTTTATAATTTTGTTTCTAAAAACATGACACATACTGCTTATTTGCTCATTTTAAATAAAAAAACACTAACATTTATAATAAATTGGATCAAATTGAGACAAAATCATAAATTTAGGATCAAAACCAAGTTAATTAAAATTAGAGAGACTAAAATAACACAAGAATTGAAATATATGAACCTCTAGTGTAATTTATTTATTTGTGTGTGTAGTAATGATACAAGCATGTTATGATTTAGGGTTGGAGGCGGGGTTGGTGATGTGCCTGCGAAGCACAGCACCGTGCTGTGATGTCCATAGGGCCTTGTCCTGTGTCCATGTTCATAATTGGAACTGTTTATATTATAAAGTTTATTGAGTAGATTATTTATAAAAAAATAAAATAAAATCAGATTAATTAGATATTTGTAGCCCCAATAACCAGATCATATTTGTTTTTTTAAAAAACAAATGGTAGTATAATTTTGATAATTTATTTTAAAACACTTAGGTTTTGATCATAAGGTTACACATTTTTGATTAACTTATTTTTTTTATGGATGATATACTCGACAAATTCAACAATATGAATGATTCGTGAAAATAGGTTCAAGATATATCCTTACAAGACTTCACAATAGGGCTCTTCGGGAAGTAAAATTGTAGTCTAATTTAGGTTAAAATCTATAAAAAGACAAAACAAACTAAAATAATTAATAAGATAAAATATCACATCAAATTTATAATCATTTCACTTTTTTTCTCACAAACACCACATTTAATTAAAAAAAATCCAATCATCTTCTCAAACACAAAAAATGTAACAAATTAAAATAGTCAAAAACTAAAATAACCTACTAAAATAATAACTTTCCAAACATTCACAATATATGTGTTGTGTCATAAGACACAAATAGCTCCCCAAATCTATGATTATATCTAAGACTTGTGATTTGTCTCTTATCTTATTTTATAAAAAAAAAATTCAGGGGTTGTTTGGCGTGTCCTAAATAAGTGTACTTTTTATCTTTTTAGATTAAAAAATTGAGGAAGAAAATATGAAATATTTGGGTTAACTTTTTGACTTTTTATGGAAAAATGTATAATAAAAAAATATATAAATTGATTTATAAAGAAAAATTAAGATTGAAAGTTGTGCAGCCATAATTGTTGACTTTTGATGAATAATATTAACTTTTTAAATAAATTTTTAACTTTTTAATTTTTTTACAATATGTCAAACTTGACCTCAGTACACCAAAATTACGCCTCAAAGAAAAGTGTGTGCATTCCTAAGCATTGGTTTAAATTTGGATAGTTTTGCAAGTGACCATAGTATATGTTCTTAACATGTTTTTTTTTGGGGCACGTGCCAATCTGGGTATGTGGTTCTGGAAGCAATACGGTACTTTTATTTTTGAAAAAAAATTTGTAGACCGAATTCCTTTATGCCCCTATTAGCCCATATGCTAGGTGGAATGCACACTTCACTCCACCTCACCTCATCAACTCAATCATCATCAAGTTTCACTAATTATAACTTGACCTCAAAAACTTGAAAAAAATACAAAAAAACATAAAAAGTTATTAAAACAATTAGAGCTGAAATAAAAAAGAATTTAAATTATATTTCCAAATTAGGAAGTGAGTTAAATAGATTAAACTCTTTTCTGACTATTACTTCTGGACAATCTATAATAAATTATATCCAAAAAATTGCTAGTATTAAAGATAAAATATCACTAGAAAAAGGCAAGTGTGGATTATCAACAAAAGTTTTCACAAGAATTAATATTGAATTAGATCGGTAGACCCAGAATTGAAATTGGTATCTGTGTTCGATTTATCGACTTTGCCAATAACATTTACATGAGTATTAAATATAGTGAAGAAGTAGAATATAATAATTTAAATAATAATACTTATCTACAAATAATAATAGAACAAAATAATACATTAATTAGGCTATTAAAAAAATTAACAAAAAACTTAAGACTAATCAGTTAGAAATAATAAATAAAATTAGACATTTTATACCAAATTCAGAAAAATAAGTAGTTATTTTTTAAGGAAAACAAAAAGAATTAGATCTATATCCATACTCATATAAATGAAATAATTCAGGAGATCTATTTGAATTAGTTTCACCTTAAAACCAAAAAGATAATGGAGTTAAGTAGTTATAATCTAAAATAGTTAGAAGAAATGACTAAAAAGGAAAATAATAATGAAATAAAATACAAAATAATATTAGAAATAGCTGAACAATTAGATATGGTAGATGAAGAAATAATAGAAGAAATAAATGATGATATAATAGAATTAGAAGAAGCCATATATAAACAATTAGGATTAATTAGTTTGGGAGAAATAGAACACATTTCCCTTAAAAATTTAGAACAAATAATGAGGAATAGCGACATAGATAAAGAAGAGAAAATAATTTATTAGAAGATTTCGAAGAAACAAATAACACTAATGATACTAAAATGGCAATGATGAACAAGAAGGGAGTAGTTCATCCACCCCAACTAATCCAAATCACCCTGATTTTAGAAATTTTATCAGACAACAATTGAAAAATGATACTAGAGATTATAATTATAGAAGAAGAACGAGACACTATAATTATGTAAATAGAGAATCTTTTGTTAGGAGAACATCCAATTATGTAGATTTTACCCTTAGAAATGAAATCTTTTTAAGGGAGATACCACTAAAACCAATAAGTAATACAAGGTATTTATTAGACATTGATCGTGTTACAAATACAAATGAGACAATAAAATAACGGAAGAGAAGCATGCACCATGTCTTAAATATTCATAGTAGCAGTTGGAGCATGCAAAGTTTTTTAAATTATATTGAACATAACTTTACAAGTGTAGTAGCAAGTTGGTATGACGACCTCAGAGAAAGTAACAAAGAAAAATTAACAACAAAAACTACCCCAGAAGGTATGTTAAACCTATTTGTAAAATATATTAAAGATAAATTTGTAGAAAAAGAGTGAGATGAGAATAAAAGAAAAGGAGAATGAGTCAAAAAATTAAGTAATATAGAAATATGTAATATGGAATATATAAAAAATTATACATACGAATACTCCTATTACTACTATCAAATAGGAAGAAATAAAATTTATTTAATTACTGTTTTTTTCATAAATTACTGTATCCTATAAATGTTAATATAGAAGAAAAATATGAAAAATTAATGGTTAAAAGAATTAGGAGATGCCACAAGTGACAACCATTGGAGATGCTCTTAGGTCATAGAATTAGATATCTAAGAGAATGTGTAGAGTATAGATGCATGAAAATGAAATAAAGAAGAAAAATGAAAAAACAATATTTACATTGTTGGCAAACCTTCAATTCATGAAGATGTGAGCCTTTAAAAAAAAAACATACAATAATAAAAAGAAAATATTTTAATAAACAAAGAGTCTAAAATATAAAAGAAAACACTGTTAAGAACCTTATAATACAAAAGAAGAAGATTTTTTAGAAAAAAATAATTATTATCTAGAAGGAAAAAAGACTTGGAAATGTTGGGCATGTAGAGAAATAGGTCATTTTGCTGATCAATGTAGAAATAAAATAATAAAATAATAAAAATCTTAGAAAACTTGGATTACGTGAAATTAGAAGAAGAAGAAGCATTAGAATTGGTTTTAAAAAATAATGAAGGAATAACATAATTAATTGAAGAAGAAATAGAAATAGAAGACGAAAATGATAGCAATACCAATGAAAAACTAATTTTTATGATAACAGAAAAAATAAATATAAAGAACTTAAGAGGAGAATAATTTGTTATAAAAAAATTTCAAGAAAAAGAAATAGAAAAAGATTGGATATTACCAATAATACGAAAAGATGAAATATATCAAAAATCAATATTCAAATTAAAAAGTAAATATATATGTGAAAGAATGGAAGAAGATATTGAAATTAAAGATTTTGAATATGATGTAGGAGAAATAAATTTAATAAATTATGAAAATATATTTAAAAGAAATAAAGATAATAAGTAAATATATGCATATATAGGAAGTGTACAAATACAAATTATACCATTGTTTGATAAAGGATAGGATATGTGTATATATATATATATGCGTTTTTATGTGATATTACACAACGAAATTTTGGAAGGTCCAT